TCATCAATATATAAAAGCAAATATATGTGCTCATCATCCTGTAGCTTGTGCATGTAAACACATGGGTCATATGGGCTCCTCGTGTACTCATGGCCAATCATAAAGCTGTCGAATCTCTTGTACCACTGTCGCGACGATTGCTTCAATCCATAAAGAGACTTCTTCAGTTTTCAAACCAAATCTTTCTTTCCTGCAGCTTTGAATCCCAAGGGTTGTGTCATGTAGATCTCCTCATCTAAATCATTGTGTAGAAAGACTGTCTTCACATTCATCTGGACCAAATCCAAATCCAGCTGTGCCACCAATGCTAATAAAATCTGAATCGACGAATGCTTCATAACGGGTGAAAATACATCGTTGTAATCAATGTCCTCAAACTGTGCATATTCCTTGGCAACCAATCTGGCTTTGTACCTAATATCCCCAATAGAAGATCCTTCTTTCTTTGTATATACCCACTTACAATCAATAGTTTTCTTCCCCTTAGGTAGCTTTACAAGTTTCCAAGTATCGTTCTTCTGAAGAGACCGTATCTTTTCCTCCATAGCTTCCCTTCACCTGATCGAATCGGGGTTAGATTCTGCCTCCCTGAATGTGGATGAAACCATATCATCAACGATCTTCACTGATAATACATATGTGATCATGATATTATTATACCTAGCTGTCCGGCGAATCATCCTTCTAGGTCTATTCGTTGCAATAGACTCTTGAACATAACATTTCTCTTGAGTCTCACAATTCACTATATCCTCTATCTGTCCTGCTGTTATCCTATCTCCTCCTAGTATCACCTCTGTAGGAGTCTCAATGGATATAATACTATATAAAGTGGGTGGAGTCATATCATCCTTTACCTGCTACGATATCTCTCGAATCTGGTCTTCCTCAACTTGCTGAGGAACTTGAGGCCTCATCATGTACGCCTCATCAAATGTGATATCCTTGCTAATAACTCTCTTCTTATCCTGTGGATCCCATAACTTGAAGCTTTTAACTTTATTTCTAAATCCTACAAAGACTGCATTCCTCACCCTCGGATTCAATTTACAATCACTAACATGATAATAAGCATGACACCCAAATATCCGAAGCGACTCATAGTTACTAGCTACCGAACCAGACCAACGTTTTAAAGGAGTCTTTCCCTGTATCGTAGTGCACGACAACCTATTAACGAGATGGCTCGTATAAACTAACGCCTCGGTCCAAAATGATTTAGGCAATCCACTCTGTGTCATCATACATCGTACCTTCTCTAGCAAGATACGGTTCAATCTCTTAGCTATCCCGTTCTGTTGCGGTGTCTCTCGAACTGTGAAGTGTCGCCTAATGCCGTGATCCCAGCAAAACTACAGAAACGGATCGCTCTTATACTTTCCATCGTAGAGTCTTTACCTTTCTACCTGTCTGTAGCTTCACTTTCTTCTTTCACTCCATAAAAATATCCAGGACCTCATGTTTATGCTTCATAAGGTATAATCAATTCCTCCTGGAATAGTCATCAATGAAAGTGATAAAATAGTTAGCCCCACCAAGTGATGTGTTCTTGGAAGGGCCCCAAACATCTGTATGAACGTAATCCAATATACCTTGGGGTTGTGAATAACGATGCCAAACTTTACTCTAGTTTTCTTCCTAAGTACACAATGCTCACATAACTCCATCTTACAGTTCTTAGCATCTTTCAAAAAGCTCCTGTTTCGCCAATGACTGTAGGGATTTATCACCTATGTGTCCTAATCTCATGTGTCATAATGTGGTAGTGTCCTCTTTTGTAGTGATAAAAGCTGTCTGACCCCCTATAATTGTCTTGCCTTTCAAGTAGTATATGTTATTTTTCCTGACACCTCGCATCACCATCATAGAACCCTTCGTGACCTTCACTGTAGCATCCTCTAAGGTCACTCTATATCTAGCTGCCTCCAAAGTACCAAGAGAAATAATATTCTTCGTCAACTACGGCACAAACCTCACTTTTTTCAACTCCCTTACTACATCGTCATGCATCCTGATCCGGACTGAACCAATACCACCAATAGGGCATACGTGGTCATTACCCATAAGCACGATATCTTTTCTTTCCAGCTCCTTAAAGTTAAAGCTAGAGAACCAATCCCTTTTAGGGCAAATGTGATATATAGCTTCTGAATCCAACATCCACTCCGTGGAGTCGGCATAGCAAACCGACGGTAGTACAGAGCACGAATAGCCCAAAGAATCTGACTCTGAATGTTCATCAATAACTTTTGCAACATTCATTTTTGAAGCTTGTACAACTTTCCCCTTATTCTTCCTGGCTTTTTTTCCACTTTGGGCAGCCAATCTTCCAATATCCTTCTTTTTTACAATACCGACATTGATTTCTACCGGCATCTCTATTCTTCGATTTTGAGCGGTTGTCTTGACGGCGGTTTAGAGTACGGCATCGAACTGCTAATGCATCTCCCGATGTCTTTTCGGAGGGTTCACCATTACTCTTCCTCAACTCATAATTTACCAAAGCTGAGATCACCTCCTTATAGCTAACAATAGTTCTTCCATTGATCATAGTGAGAACGAACGTGTCGTAATCATTCTCGGGCAACGAACACAAAAGTAGCATTGCTTTGTCTTCATCCTCAACCATGATGTCCAAATTGGCCATATCTGAAAGTAGCTTCGTGAAATTGTTTACATACTCCCTAATGGAAACTCTCCTCTTCATCTTGAACTGGTAAAACCTCTTCTTCAAATGAAGCCGATTCTCAATGCTTTTCGTAAAATACTTCTCATTGATGTTTCCCACATTCTCTTCACCGACGTCTCGTTCATCACGTCATAAATAAGATCCGGCATCAAGCATGATCGAATTACTCCACAAGCCATACTATTCATCTTCTTCCAAACATTGTCCTCCATATCAGCGGGTTTCTCTTGTAACTCAAGAGTCTTCTCCAAATTCTGTGCATCCAAAGCATCCATCACCTGGCACCTTCACAAAGCGAAGTTGATCTTGCCGTCGAATTTCGGAACATCTATCTTCGTGTTATTGATGCTCGGACTCTGTATCGCCTTCGTAAGAAACGAACCTGACGTGCTTGCTTTTCCCATGTTATCGATCTAACTCTTCAAATAGGAATTCTTCACCGAATCTTTTGAACAAGCCTCAAGCCAAACCTAAAGCTCTGATACCACTTCTTGTGCGTAGCGGAGCTCGAAATCACACGAATACGAAACAGATAAATCACAATCAATAAGCCAAACACAATACCACAGCAAGACAAACGAATTTTACGTGGTTCGGCAAATTGCCTATGTCCACGGGGTAAGGAGGGGGGAGTTCTTACTATTAGAAATCAAGAGAATACATATATGGTTACAAATCTCTCAAATAAACCCTAAAACAAAACATCTAGATCTCTCACAAATCTCCCACAATTGGATGCAACAATCCTCTCTCAAAGATTGCTCAAAATGTCCTTGCTTTACCCTAATTAATTAGGATTAGGCTTATTTATCAACTCAGAAACGAAACGGGTTGAAAACCAAAAACCCAGCTTAGACCTGACGCGCGGTTGACCGCGAAAACAACAAAAACTTTCCCGAGTCTCTGGACTTTTGGCGGCCGACCGTCGCGCTACGTGCAATCGACCACGATCTGATACAAGACCAAAACTGATCCTCGTGCACGTTGACGGTCGACCGCCGCGCCACACGCGGTCGACCACACAACACCCAAAAACAGTTCTTCGTCTTTTCCTGCAGTCTTCGTCGCTGTGCTCACCATTTCTTCAAATTGCAGATACACCCTCCGTTTTATAGGGATTAGCAACTTATTATCCCAGAACTTTTCTATCGACATCTAGAAGCTCCAAAGCTCGAACAAAATTATCTCTCCGTTGCACGTGAGTGTCACATGACATCAATGCATTGCTACTAGAAATAGATATTGTTTTAGCATTGCAGAGAGACCTTTTATTCTCTTATTGGTGTTGAATATTGATCCCCTAAGTGCATACAGATAACATAGAGATGACTATGTCTGGGTTTCAAAGGGTGTTATTGCTAATAAAAAGTTTAGGCATAATATGTGGCTAACCCTTATAGTATAAGAGGTGTATCTTCAAATCCAAAAAGAAATTACAGGGCTTACTGCTGTTTTTTTTCTTTTTTTCCCTTCTCTGTCCTTACTGGGGACTGTAACATATTGTCGTTCATTTAAATGTTATCGGTGTCCCTAATATCTGATTTCTCTGGGGGGCCGTAAAGTTGGATAGCGTACCAGTTCATATTAGGTTAGTCGAACTTCATGTCAGAATGGGCAATCGAAAGTTGATGTATGCTATGAACTTGTGAATATTCAGTGATTGCATATAATTTTTTTGTTGCTATATAGTTTCCATCACTTCAATTAATATCACAAGAACTTGAAGACTTAAAAGACTAATTTGATCTGCAATCCAAGTCCGAAAAAGGATCAATAATGAAGAATTGATAAAATGATCTATCAACTGAATATTGTGACAAACTAGGATGTTATCAGTGTTATGTACAGTCAATTTGATGAGTGATCCGAAAGTTTAAACTGTATCTTTGCAAAAGGAGCTAATATAACCTGATATTATCCTTTCACGGATCTAATTGAGAATATCTGACTACATTTTGCTTGATAACTTACACCACATCACTAAACACATATCTTTGTACTACTCAATTTTGAAGCTTAACCTTGATGATTATTATTAGAATCTTAATATGCTTTGCATTCACCTGGCTTTTATCTGTCAAATGCAATTTGTGTAAGGATTATGGTTCCAAAATATTGCTATCGTATCCTAATATTTTCGACTTTTGCCTTTGGCAGTGAGTGTACTCATTTCTTTTATTGGTTTTCAACTTTCCGCTTCCGTTGATTATGCCTCAAACCCACTGTTGTCAATTAGTCTGTTCTAAGAGAAATATATTCATCTATATGTTTTCTTTGTTTTTCTTTTTAGTAATTTGAACCGTCTATGCAGAAATTGAAGAGTCGAGTAATAAAAAGTAACGTCAATCCAGAGTGGAATGAAGACTTGACTCTTTCTGTGGAGGATCCTACTATCCCAGTCAGACTTGTAAGTTTCCCCCCGAATTAGTATTTAATTTTTACATATATTGGAATTAATTTATTTTCCCAACAATATAGTAAGGCTGTTCCACTCTAGAAATGACAAATGTCTCATAGCCATGAACCAATGATACAAGAGCAAAAGGACTAGAAACCCAGATTAAAAAGAGGGGAAGGGTTCTGTTGTTAGAAAGGCAAAATTTTCTTTTGGCGATTTGCATTATTTGAGATGAAGAAGAGTTACATTCTTTCTTTCCTTGTTTATAGTGAAAAACTCTCATTTTTCTTCTTGTGTACTACATAGACTGAATTTGACCTAACCACATAAGGTCTTGATATTTCTACTTGTGTTTTGTGTGATTTCTCTTTTATGGTTCTTGGTTCTCATAGGCTTAACTTTTGCGGAAATGTTGTCTATGTGGTTCTGGTTATTGATTGATCCAGTTATCATCTGACAGAAGTGTTGTCTATGTGATTTGTTATTGATTGATCCAGTTATCTTTGTCAACACCTTATTAACCTAGATGATACCACGTCATCCCAATAACTTTAACGTTTTAACTATCATTTAGTTTCACGTGTCCAAAATATTCTGAACCGATAGTACTATCGACAAATGACAGTTTCTTAGTCTTGCAACAAAAGTGCTTATTATTGGTTTTGAGAGAACATTCAAGGGCTGTTTAGGATAAATGAGATTGACATGTATTTCACTTATTCCTTTTATTGTGAGTACCTTTATGTCTTTAATAATAGATTATTGGTTATCACTACCTATGGTGTATGGAAGAGGAAATTTTAGATGTGTTTGGTAGAATTGTTAGGTTAGAAGTTAGAGATCAAACTCTTGCCAACTCTGAACAACTCTTGCCAAACACATGAAAATAGAAACCAACCAGTTTTCATAGAAAGTTTTATGCAAAAACCACTCAAGTCCTAATGTGACTAGATTAATATCTCGAACTCCTATGTCACACGTCATTTTTAGTTTGTGGCGCCTTTGGCGCAGACGAGAATCGAACCTAGCCCCCCCCTACACACACACGAGAGAGCGACACGGCTTTGCCATGTGACCTACTAGGCCGCTCCATGGTCGTTAACCCAAAAATATCTTTATACATATTGACATAATTATTTAATTTTGCATATCTAAACATCTTAACCCATTAGTATATTTTGACAAATGACAGCTACATAGCTTTGCAATGAAATCATTCTTAGTTTTTGGATAATGTTGTTTGGCTTCTTAGGGTAATACACTTGTTATTAGTTTGCCACCTATCCCTTTAGATAATACAAACCGTACTCCAACTCCTAAACTACATTTGCACTACATGAAACAAAAGTCTGAGGGTCAATAATGACGGATAAACTTTGATAACAATTCGAGAGGAAAGATATACACCTTTGTTTCTTGTGGTATAAAAATAGTTTTGTGATAGGATAACAACTAGAGTAAGAACTAATAAAGGTTAGATTAAACCATTTCCTATTACCATAGGTTTACACCAATGGTCAATTTCAAGTCCTTATCTTTTTGCATTAGTTATAGACCAACTTACTAAGCACATTAAGGATGAAATTACATAGTGTATGTTATTTACCAATGATATAGTATTAGTTAATGAAACTAGAAGAGACATTATTTCTAAAGTAGAAAGCTGAAGACAAGCTCTTGAATCTAAATGTTTTAGAATTAGTAGAAAAAAAACAGAATATATGGAGTGCATTTTTAGTAAAACTAGGAAAGGAAGAGAGCCAATGGTACATTTTGATGGCTAAGAAATACCTAAAACTAATCATTTTCGCTATTTAGGATCAATCATTAGGTATGATGGTGAGATAGAGGATGATGTTGCGTATCGAATCAAATCGAGATGGTTGAAATGGAGGAGTGCTTCGGGAGTCTTATGTGATCGTGGAATACAAATGAAACTAAAGAAAAAATTCTATAAGACGGTTATAAGGCCAACTATGTTTTATGAGTCATAGTGTTAGGCAATTAAAAAAATAACATGTTCAAAAAATGAGTGTAGCAGAAATGATCATGTTGCGATGGTCTTGTGGGTATACATTAAAAGATATGATAAGAAATGAGTGCAATCGTAGTAAATTAGAGGTTGCGCCTATTGAGGATAAAATGAGAGAGTAGATTAAAATGGTTTGGTCATGTACCCCGGAGACTCCTTAGTGCACCGGTTATGAAAAACGATAATATTAAAGTTAATGGGGCTAGGAGATCTAGAGGTAGACTTAGAATGACTTGGTTAGAAGCAATTAAGAAGGATATAATTAAGACTAACTTAACAGAGGAGATGCCCTATAACAGAATGGAATGGAAAAATAGGATTCATATAGCCGATCCCAAACATTTGGGATAAAGAGTAGGTGGTTGTTGATGTTGTTGACTTGTTGGTTGAAGTCTAGTCATCACTACTTATTTCAATTGCGCTCACATTTTGAGTGCCTGTATGATCACAACCATAGAGACATTTCGTTATCAGTAACTGTATCGGGAAGGATAGGAATATTTTGTTTTTAGTTAGAAGAGTTAACCTGAAACTGAACCCTTGTCAACTCTTGCCAGACTTTTAATACCTTGTAAACGTTCTTACACAAAAACCTCTTAAATCCTAATCTGACTATATAACTCCTCCCAAAAATCTCAGAACTTCGACATCCTTGCACTTTTAGCCAAACACAACTTTATTGTTATTTCTTTGCCTTTTGCTTCAGGAAGTGTATGATAAAGACAGGTTCAGTGCCGATGATCCAATGGGCAACGCTGAATTCAACATCCAACCGTTCATTGAGGCCTTGAAGATGAAGTCAGGACTCATTCCAAATGGGACGATACTAAACAAAATGACCCCGAACAGACACAACTGCTTGGCCGAAGAGAGTCTGATCTACTTATCCGATGGAGAAATAGTTCAAGATATGGTGCTTAGGTTGAAGGAAGTAGAAAGTGGTGAGGTTGAACTGAGATTGGAGTGGGTTAACATTCCAGGCTCCGAGGGTTTGTGGGATGCACTCTGATGTTGTAGCAGTTGTTCAGACTTCATTGGAATTTTTTAGTTATGCCTTCGTTGTGTTGTGTTGTGTTGTAATGTATGTATGTATGTATGTGTACGTAGAAAGTATTTATTTTCGGATGATGATCCTTTGCTGGTTGGAGCACTTCTTTGAGTTGGAATTTTATTTTAAACATGTTCATCTCTATTCTGTAGACGAAAAGAGTGGCCCGCTGGCCCAGCACGAGGCTCTTACCATTGTTGGCTATTGAGAGGGTCAAAAGTGCGCAAACTTACCCTGCATTGGTGGAGGTTATTGTATAAATGCGGAGGAGCTGTTATGTAGATGAGCTTGTGATAATTTCTTTTAAGGCTGCGTTTGGGAACTTGGATTTGGGCCCTGGATTTAAAATCCTGGGTATTTCAAATCCAAATCTCTTGTTTGGACCTCAAATTGGACTGAGATTTTAAATCAAATGATTTTAAAGATGTGATTTTGAAAGCCCAAATACACGTATTTGAAATCCCACCCTCACCCTTCGTATTTATCAAATCCAAATCCGGACGCGACGACTCCCCCGATCCCGACTCCTCCTCCCTCTCGTTTCTCAGCGGCGATCCCTCTCGTTTCTCAGCGGCGATCTCGAATCTCCAGGTATCTCTCCTCTCTCCTCTCTCCCCCTCTCCTCTCTCCCCTTCTCCTCTCTCGTCTCAACGCAGGGATCTCTCTTTGTATTTTGAAACCCTAGATCTGATCTGAGTTTGCTTTTCTCTGTTGTAGCTTTTTTTCAATTTCTGCAGTTTTTGATCTGGGTACTCCTTATATCTCGATCTCTTCCGTTAAAATTGTCTGTTCTCTATGCTAATGGGTGCCTGCCTTATGTTCGATTTTATGCCATATGAATTTTTTTTTGATAAACCAAGTTACGTACTGGTTGATGATTGAGTGACTGTTGCCTTTTGTTGTTTGGTACTGTAATTTGGGAGAATATGTGTACACATGCACTCCCATATAAATAATTCTATTTGCCTGAATATAGAACTCAAAACCCATACTTGAAGGGAAAAGAAATCGGATCCAGATAGAATATGGATATTTACATGAAGATAGGAAGTTAATTTATTCTTTTGTAAGTATAAAAGATTTGAGTCATGAAGATTTGGATTCAACAGATGAGTTCTAGTTGTAAGTATCAACAGTTCTTTATTCTTTTGTATGCTTTAGATATTGTTTTTCGGAAATTCATCCAGTTGTATTCTAAGAGATAGAATGAGACATGGTCGTGGTTAATACTATGTACTAAACCAAATGTTGAGATCAGTTTGCTGGCTTCCTGTGTAGTTCTTCTATTTTCTTTGATAGAATGAACAGTCGAGAAGTTAATTTCCCCATGTTGTATCTAAGTTGAGGAATTATATTTTTGGTGAGCTCACATGTTAATTTGTTAGCTTAATGCATTTCTACCCCAGACGAGACTACTATTCAAGACTTTGCTGCTATTTTTGTTATTGTGTTGCTGCATAAACTGGTTGAATTAGCTCATTTAGGCATCCCTCGAATAATCGAAACTGATGTTAGATTATTGGATTTTAGTACTTCAATTCAACATGATGTATTTTATTTTGTGTATCACGAAAGACTAATGTGAGACAGAACAGGCACCTGATATTTCATATGAATGCACATAAGTTTTATCGATTATATTACTGTATTGGATTACTTGAAGCATCTCCATTTCCCTCTACTGCTAATAAAGCTAGAGTAATGTCGTGAATATTACTGTTTAGACCATTTGCATCTGTCTGTGATTATTTCATTAGCAGCATTTGGATTGCCTTTAATCATTGCTCTAGCTTTATCACAACATTAGCTTGTGACCTTGTCCATGGATAATGTCATGCAAATTTTATGTGTCACTTTAGAGTTTGCTAGTGTTTGCTGGTGTTTGCTAGTGTTTCTTTCTGATGACAGCTACTTATTTCTTTTTATTATTTCATACCTTAGAAAGTCTTGGATACCTTAGAAAGTCTTGGATTCGAAATCTTATTTGCAATGCAAATAACTGTGTTGAACAACTAAGGATGAATCCTCAAGCGTTTAAGAGGTTATGTGATGTTCTATGTACTAGAGGGGGATTAGTAGCATCAAGAAATGTCACGATTGAAGAAATTGTCGCTATGTTTTTGCATATTTTAGCTCATAATGTAAAAAATAGGACAAGCAAGACAAATTTTTATCGTTCAAATGAAACAATTAGTTGGCAGTTCCACAAAGTACTTCAAGCAGTCATGAAGATAGAAAGCCTCTATATTAAACAAGAATATACAAATCCTAATGAGAGAGACATAGAGAAGTGGAAATGGTTTGAGGTAACTATGACTTCTTTTATTAAGGTTTTCATGTTTAGTACTTTTGTTTAATAGAACTAATTGTAAGGTTGTGCAATTTTAGGATGCTATCGGGGCACTTGATGGGACTCATATCCAATTAACTATTCCTTTGGAAGATCAAAGTAGATATCGAAATAGAAAAGGAGAGAACAGTACAAATGTACTTGGTGTTTGTGATGCCAATTTGAATTTGAGATTTTCATATGTGCTACCTAGTTGGGAGGGTTCACCTTCAGATTCTCGTGTTTTGCGTCGGCCCAATGGCTTGAAACTTCCCTCAAGTAGGAATATATATTTTTTAATTATTATATATGTATTGCTTCCTAGTTTTTACATTGTTGTGACTGAAGATTTTGATTTTGTAGATAAATACTTTCTTGTGGATGCTGGGTATACAAATGGGCCGGGGTTTTTGGCACCTTATCGAGGGACTCGCTATCATATAAAGTCTTGGAGAGAAAATGGTCCAAGAAACTACAAGGAGTTATTTAACCAACGTCATTCCTCTGCTAGAAACACAATTGAGAGAGCATTCGGATTGCTAAAAAAGCGATGGGCTATATTACGGACAACTAGCTTTTATAGTGTTAAGACTCAAATTAGGATCATTAATGCATGTTGTATTCTTCACAACTTTTTACGTGAAGAGATGAATGAAGACGACTTGTTGAATGATGTGGATCGAGAATTAGAAGATTCTCCTGTTTTAGAAATTGAGAATGTAGATGATGAGCGTATCACCACTGTGAGAGTTACAGATGAATGGAGCAACTTTAGAGATAATTTAGCTATGCAAATGTGGGATGAATACCGACTTTAAGATAATTTAGCTACAAGATGGACATGCATTCATCTCTTATGTTTGTAATTCAGATGCTTCTATCTTTCTTTATTATCTTTTGATGATTAATGTGCTTTGCTAAGAAATGCTTACATAATGTTGGTAGTTCTATAAATAATGAACTAGTATGCTAGTTGACAATTCTTTTGACATCTTTTGAGCTTTACCTATTATTTTCACATCTTTTGCAAGAAGTAAAGACATAAAGTCATAAAATCGATAGAATATTGGATATGATATTTTCATTTTTTTTGCCGGAAATGCTTAAACAAATAAGTATGTCTATGTGTCTAGCTACTGTAGAAATGATATTTCATTTCATTTCATTGATTATTTTAGATTGCACTTTAGCATGTGGGTTTCCGTATGAAGTACAGACGTGTGTTTGTGTTGCTAAGGATTTGGTTTCTTTCTGGTAACAAATTATCTCTTGTAGAGGAGTTTGGGTCCCAACTTGCAGGTGCAATTTGTGCAATGTCTGGTTGTAAATAGTTGCAAAAGAGAGACTATCTGCAGGTATATAAATAGTTGCAATGTCCAGAATCGTTTCCTTGAACAACCAGAATCGTTTGATTGCTTCAACTATCTTATGTTGCTTCATAAGGTGACCTCTCATTAATCAATTGTTTGTGAGATGATTGCTTCTCTTCACCTTTACAGGAGTATTTACTGTTGTTCCAAAAGCTTGCAAGCAAGTTATTGACTATATGGGTTAATTGCATTCATTACTAATCAACCTTTGTGCTTCAATACTAATTCTGTGTCATTCACTTTGGTATGTATTAGGATGACAAAGAAAGGGAAACAAATTGCATCTCATTCAAGATCATATGTTGTGTGGAATCGTGATATGGACGCAGCTTTAGCCAATGTGTTGTACGATCAAATGAACCAAGGATTAAAAGTCGATGGTAATATTGCACGATCAAATGAACAAAGATAACGTGAAAAATCGACTCAAAATTTGAAAAACCCATTATAATGTTATCTATGACATTAAAAATAAAAGTGGTTTGACGTGGTGGGATGATGAGAAGAAAATGGTGATTATACCCGCTAGTGAGCAAAAAGTATGGAACGACTATGTTACGGTAATATTACACTTTATATTTATTAATTTGAATTATTAGTTTGTTGCATATATCTAAAAAATATTTGTGAATGTTCTTATATTGCAGGCTAATCCAGATGCAAAAGGCTACCAGAATCGTTTGATTAAAAATTAGGATGATATTATGGTGTTATGTGCAAAAGATAGAGCCAACGGTGAAGGTGCAGAAACTTTTGAAGAGGCTGCTAACACAATGCAACATGATGAATCTGTGGCACAATCTGAAACAAACGAAGATGGAAGCTCTTCAAGGAAACATCTTCCTGGAACATCAACTAGTGGTGAGACAAGTTCAAAGAAACAAAAGAAGGGGGATAAATTGGTTGATTCACTTGCAGTGATGGCAGCTTCTGTGACTGAGTATTTTAATGAGAGAAAGAAGGAAGTAGTAAGAAAACCACCAACCGGTGAGGAGATTCATCACGTGGTCTCAAAAATACCCAACTTAAGTCGCATTCAAGTGTTCAAGGCATTTGAGAAGCTAATGGATAGCAACCCGGAAAAATTTTATTTGTTGAAGTCACTTCCTGATGATGAAAAAAGAGATTTCATTCTCTTTATTCTTAAGGAGTAGCTTCTAGTTGGATGGCAAGAACCCCCAAATCTTTGAACTCATTCGAGTAAGTTCTCTCTTGGATTTCTTTTTCTTTTTTAGGCATATTTTAACTCTCATTATTTTGTCATTTATCCCTAAATTTTGAGTACTATGGTTGATCAGCCAGATTGACCCACTGTAACACTGTTCTTAGTCTTTTCCACATAACTGCACATATACTTATTAATATACTGCTAATTAATTTCGACAGACAACTACTTGGCATTCATTCTGACAATTCATTGAACAGGATAAGGTTTCGAAAGGTTAAGCATGACTGTCCCTCTCATCAACTCTCATAGTTTTGGTTTTGTCTGATAGCTTGTTTTTCTCTAGTTTATTTTTTCAGTGCATTACTGGATTTAGTTATATGTTAGATTTAATGCCTGTATTCTGGTTTTCCATAATTGTCGTAGCTGACATTTTATGTCATTTACAATTTTGTATCATGGTTAAGATTGAACTCATTAGAAATTTCATATCATAGTATTACTGACTCTTGACATTATATAATATCTATCCCTGTCCCTTAACTGGAGGTTTATCTGTGTCATTTATGACACTTTTGACAATTTATTTTTGGTGAACATGGATTGATTTCCACTTTCTGAACTATTTGAGCCTACTGTCTTTAGTGGTCTTTACAGATGTTCAACCCATATATTTCATGTGTATCTACTTTCTGAAACGAAAATGCAACACTAAAACAAATTGCATGCTAGTGTCATAGTTTATATCTGAGGAACCTTAGGTGCGCACTTCTGATGTATTTTTCATTCTTGGAGTTCCATTTGTTCCCTCAAAATCATGTTTTTTGAAGTCATGAATTATGCTACAAAGATTAGCGCTTTAATTTACATCAACTAGAATGAGTTTGAGCTTGCTTTTAAGTAGCAGTTTGTCCTCTGATAAGAACCTGAACATGGTGCAAGGACCTTGAATACTTTACTTCGGTAATGCCTGAATTTCAAAGTAAACTGAGACTATGCGTGCACAGATGCTGGATTGACTGTAATGTTTTGTGGTAAATACACTAGTATTCTTGTTTGGATATTGTGTGATGGGAGACTTCCAGCATTAGAAGGTGAACTATCTATATGTATGTATGTGTGCATCCATATAACATAAATAATCAGTTAGTATATACTTCCAAATACTTCCAAGGTACATTGAATATGCAGATACACACTCCTATATCACATGATAACTTATAAATGGTGGTATAGGGTACTTCCAGTAAAAAGTGGCACTGTGTGCTTTTCTCAGGTTGGTTTTGTCACCTTCTTCCTAAATTCTGTCCTTGATAATCTAACATCAACAATTGTCATGGTCTCCTTGTTGAGAAAACTAGTGCCTCCATCAGAATACAGAAAGTACGCAATCCTGTACTTGTTTTCTTTTTCTTTTTTTAAAGGTTGATGGTCTTCATGATTCAACTTTGAAGTTCGATTTTTGTGCCATGGACTAATTGATGCTAAATTGTGTAATGTAGGACTCAAATTCTTCGAGACATGAAGTTGGGCGCATTGGAGAGAAAAGAGGAGAAGACTTGAAGGATAAATAGAGGATTCTAGATATGTTTTCTTTTAATAGTTTATGTTGTCGTAATTTGGCTTGTTGTAGCAAATCATGGTTACTTCTTATAGCAAATCATGGTTATCAACTACCTATGGTATGTTGTGTTTTAAATGAAGGATTGTTGTGGAGTGTAGAGCTTCTTATGAGGAGTGTTTGCTAAACTCTTTTGACTCGTCGAGTCTTTTATCATGGCTAGTTATTGGAGTAGTACTCTTGTTCTTTGGAGATTGAAGGTTGATGTAGTATTGGATGAAGCCATGAAAAAATGGCGTAATAATAAATATTTTGGACATTATTATTATTTTTTGTATTCTCTCATACCGATTCATGAAGGACAAGATGTTTGCATGTGTATTTATAATTGCTAATAAAGAGATCAAACTTCTGAGGGGGTCGTGAAATTTACCCTAACTTTTTCCTCAATATAAACCATAATGTCCGCATTTGATTTAATTATTAAGGAGTTAAGAGAAAGCATAAAATTTTTTAAAACACCAATTTCAAATCCAAATTCATGTATAATAAAGTGCATCCAAACATCAGATTTTAAATCTGTGATTTCAAATCCTTGCATTTAGTGATGACATCCAAACAAAAGATTTTATCAAATCATGGATTTCAAATTCTAGATTTGAAATCCCATGATTTTAAATCAACCTTTCAAATCCAAATCCAAGTTCCCAAACGCAGAAAGTGAAAAAAAGGAATATTGAGGATTTGTCATGCTGAACCTGGTGCCAGCACATGCCTTTATAATAAAATTTTAATTTGCTTTTGAATTTTATAATTTCATTTAAAATTATGTTTGTAATTTGTAAAAATTATACAAACATCACGAGACATAGATTTTTTTTCGGGTGGTGGTGGTGGGTGGGTTTTTTTTGTGTGTATCAAGTAGTTTATTGATTTAATTTGAGATGCAGGTAACGCTATGACAAGCTAACAAATTAGATTACGTAGTTGGGAAAATTAAAAAAAGTAAATTGAATTATAAAGTGGTTTCCTGATTTGATAATGTGTATTACACAATTAACTTCATGCTTAATAAACTTTCGTTTTATTTAGGTGCATAATCTGATATGGGTCCAAACTAAATCTTGAAACTAGATTTGGAGTGGACGCCGGTTGTTAGGCTTCTCAGACTTCGGATGCTCTGTAAGAGATATTGCCGAAACTTCCGAGCTGTAGAGCCAGTAAAAATGTTCAGAAAGCACTTTTTCAATCTTTTATTCGGTTCAAGATGCTCTGTTTTCACGTGAGATGTTCTGAGAAGATGCAATCTCGTTTTACATATGGAGATTATAGAATTTAGGACTACAAATGAGTGTAGACTTGATTATTCAAAACCGAAGCGGATCAAAAAACCCGGATCTAGATCTAGCAAATCCGCATGGATCCAACCTGACTCGTTCAGTGACCGGTTGGATTCGGGTCAACAACTCGTTCAGTGACTCATTAGCGCTTGAGTTAGCGCTAATGAGGTTTTAAACTTCATGGAATTTAAAATCCCGTAAAATTTTTGATATTTTTTCCATATTTTCGACAAAGTTTCAGTCACAATGGCAAATATTTTTAAAAGGAGTCGTTTTTAAAATTTTGTTTCTTAAGGAGTCTATTTTGAAAATTTGTCCAATATTCAAACCACAAAAATGAGAAATAAAAAATAAATAAATAAAGGCGGAAAGAGAGAAAGAAAGAAGGAACAAGAAAACCCTAACCCTAACACGACATTATCGGCCTCTTTCTCTCCCTAATCTCCTTTCGCTTCCTTCTCATGCTCTCCCTCCAATCACGAAACCCTAATTTGAGGATGTGCCTAGCTTTCTTTCTATTGCCTGATCTCTCCGGTAAGTTTGGTTCTCTGACTATTTTTTAATGTTTTTGATGTTTTTTCTGAGCATAATTGCTGAATTATGGTATCTTTTGGAATCAGGGCAACTGATATAGATCGAACTTTTCAATTATTTTACGTGGAATTTCAATGTTTGTAATAGTTAATCACAAATTTGGGCAAAAACAATGACCCGCTTCGAATTTGGGCAGCGCTACATGATTTCAACATGAAAGAGCCGAAATCGCAACGTTAGGATAAACAACAGCGCAAAAAAGAACTAAAAAAGCTAACCTGAGTATCAGATATTTAATTTTGATTTATAACTTTTTGGTTTTGATATTACATTTTGTTCCTTTTCCCGAAAAGCCTTTTTTTTGCAATTCACGTTTATTTGATACTTTGTTTTTTTTAATACAGGTTGCTTGATTTACACCCTTAGATTCTTCTAGAAGGTATTGGGATATTTGTCAATGGGTGCTCCGAAGCAAAAATGGACAGAGGAAGAGGAATTCGCTCTCAAAGCTGGAATTAGGAAACACGGGGCCGGTAAATGGCGCACCATACTGAAGGACCCGGAATTTAGTGGCATCTTATGTTTGCGGTCAAATGTTGATCTCAAGGTATTGCATTTTGTTTTATTATGTTGAATAATCCTTGACTTTCCTTAGTTAGGAAAAGTACCTGCATATTGCTAATTATATTTACAACGTGTGTTCTGATGTGATATTCATTTGCATTAACTTTAGTAGCTTGATGACCATCGTTTGGGTATCCCCCATGTAGCCGATATATCAGTCGATATGTCTTTTTTATAAGACTTGCTGCAAAACAATATAGTCTCAATATCCTTTATTGCTTATGGTAATTTTTGGCGATATATCTCCTGACAATGGCCGATGTGTCCTTTTTATATATCTTGTCATTAAACATATACTTCTATAAAATTTCTTTAATGTTTTTAATAAGCACTCCAGCCATGTGAAGTTTTTTTAGCAAAATTCTAGTAGGCTCTTTTCCTTAAATAGTTTTCTACAATTGGTTAGTGATCCTAAATATATATTATTAATATTTTTGTATGCTTAGATTTCATTAAGTATGTCTAGATCACATTTTAGGACTTTACATTATGTATGCACATCCTCCGATATGACACTCTGGTGTTTATTACATATCCCTGATATTCGCATATGGATTTTGTCCATTTATCGTATACTTAGGACCTTGTTGATGACACATGCTATAATCTTGACTATGATTGCTCTTTATGAAAATATCATTTTTTTTCCAATAGGATAAATGGAGAAACATGAGTGTTGTAATGAATGGATGGGGATCTCGAGAAAAGGGTAGGATAGCCTTGAAAAAGAGCAAACAGACCCCGAGGCATGATGAGAATCCCATGGCCCTTACTACTGGAGTTAAAGATATTTCTGACGAGATTGTTGAAGCCAAGCCTCTAGCGATGTCAGCTGGCCCTCCACAGATCACTCCGCCAAAGAAATCAGAGGCAAAGTTAGTGTCTTAATTGCATTAGTTCATATGCTTGTTTTGGATTAATATTTATGCAAGTATTTATCATTTTCTCTTTCATTTACTATCTAATTTTAGTTTGCATGTGCATATTGCTCATGCACGTGTATGCATGTTCATGCCAGTGTACTCATGATCCGATTTAATCTTCTGCTCTTTTGTTTATTATATGTGCCTTCTTTGGTAGTTTCTCTAATTTTATGTTTATGAGTGAATGGGTTTCCGCTCTTATCCATTTAATTTTGCAAACAAGAGCCATGCAGATTTAGCAACGAGAAACTAAGGTGCGTTTATCTTTCTGTGTAACGAACTTAGGTGACCATTTAAAATATCTGGGACAAAGTCACTCGAAGAATGCTTTAAAAATGTAAGGATAACCAGGGAGTCTGCGACTTGACTAGATATGATTACATGGCATCTTTATAGAGTTATTTATGTTGATAAGAGTATGAAGGCTTCCCTGTTAGTTTGGCATCCTAGTTTTAAATGAAGCTTTCTATTTCATTATGTTCCAACAAGATTTTGCTTTTATATGAGTTAGAGCCAGCAGTGGATAGTGACAAGTGTTAATACACGATGGTGAAGAGGTAAAGAGGGGTGAAGGAGAGGTGACAAGTAGAAAGATGTGATCAAATGGAAAGTGTGCCACTGTCTATGTTCTTTTGTCACGCGACTCTTTTGTTAGGCTAATCAGATTTAGCCTACAGATGAACATTCTGGCACACTTTCCGACTTGTACCAAAGCAGAATCTTATGAAGTTAAAATCTAATGGTTTTAGTAAGATGAACATGATGTAAGCAGAAATGGGCTGCACTAGCTCAGTGTGTTTTTGGCCTACTCTTACATTACTATACCGAGGCTTTATCTTTCAGGTACAATTGTAGTTTATTTGTTAAAAAAACTGTTTGGAAGCTGTCATCCTTATCATCTACATCTTTTTCTTATCTAATCGATGCTTGTCTCCATTAACCTGTTAGTACGAATCACTTATTTAGTACAATACTTGGTAAAAGAACACATGGGTTTGGATGTTACTGGTTAATTCAGCTGTCAACAAGGCCTGTAAATTGCTAGTTGATCCATGTTTTCTTTTCTCAGACCATTTTCTTTTAGCAATCAACAGTAAGAACACGTCAATATGCATAATTGAAATTGTCTTTGTGATTGATTTTATACTATATCCAATTCTGTTTTGAATGCATCTTCATTTGTATAATTGTTTAAGTGCTAATTTCCTGTTTTACAGGCTTACAAGTGACAAAAAACTGATGCTAATTTAATGATAAATTTTACTTTTGGGTTGTTGGTTATTGTTGGACCTTACTAATTAGACTAATATAGTTTTAAACTATGGTTTGACTTGTTTGTTCGATCTATATTGTGCAGGTTAGAGAATCTTATACTGGAAGCCATTACTAACTTGAAGGAGCCTAGCGGATCCAATAAAACTGCAATTGCTATGTATATAGAAGTGAGAGCTAATTTCTACTTTTATGTTATTACTTCTTATTTGTTACCTTAGCTTGTTGTTTGTCATCTACCTTCACCTCACATACACGTGTGCACAAACACCACCTATATTTTCTTTGACCTGCCCAGTGCCCACCTCTCTCCCTCTCCCTATCTAGGATGATATCCTATATAACATGATCCATAGCTCCAAACTGATAACCTACAATGCTGATAATCATCTTGAATACCAAAGTTGCTTTAAGTACAAATTCGGGTGCCTTCCAAGTTTTTACCTACACGCTCATAGTTTTCTTAGCAAGCTTTTTACGTATGGCCTGGGAGTAGCAAAATTCACTAAATTATTTAGTTACCCTTTCGCAAGATGTCTTGTTTCTGTAACCAACGTACTGGTTTAGACTCAAAGTGACCAAAATAATGCATTGACATAGCTTGGATAATGATCATTGAGAAAAAGATTGTAGGTAAACAAGAAGTTGAACATATATGGAGGCTTTTTGTTCCTAACGTCCGAGCAGTAGGGTCCTACTGGTGTTGCTAAGTCAGCCTTTTTGTTATATATACATATCTGTACTCTGGCTATATTTATTCAAATAAGCAGTGATACTTGGAACTATATCTAGACCATCAATAAGCACAACACTTTTCATTGGTCCAACTCTATAATTCAAAAGGTACATTGTATGTTTTACCCCGGTTTAATTACCTGGCATATGTGGTAACTTCTTGCTCTAGCTGTCCCTTTACGGGTTTTATAACATGTCAACTTATTCCCTTTTCCTTCTGTTTTCTGGATTTTTGTGTGCTAGTACTTCTGTAGGACACTGCTCAAAACATTTATGCTTTTCCTGTTTCAACTCCATGAGTGCTTATTTGACTATTTGGGCCTGTTTTGCAACCTAAATGGTACCAGGATCAATTACTTGACTATTTGGCAATTTGGGTCTGTTCTGCAAGCTCCAAATCAGGACCAACCTGGTCCCATTTTGGAGGTTGCAAAACAGGCCCAAATAGTCAAGTAAGCACTTGAGAAGATCCTAGTTCAGGAAAAAGTGGGTTGGCTCACTTTTTCCTAGGCCAAATAGCGTTCTAAAACCGGTTCTGGTTTGACCCACATTGTTTGGCTATTGATTGCCTTCATGCAAGTGATCCACATTGTTTCGCTCATTAGTAACTAATTTCTCTTTCGTGAATTAAATACCTCACCTTCTTCGCTTGTTTGTTGATAGAGATTGTTGCTTTCACACATGGAATACACCGTCTCCTCAGTAGAAGAGAACATGCTAAACGAATTGGCCTCTTAGCTATTCAAACTAGTTATTTTGTTTTTGCCAATGGATGTCAGGTTATTATGTTGTTTATGGGATATGCAGGGTACGAAAAATTGGTGAGTCCAACATACTTGAACATGATACCCATATCCATCCAGACACTTGCATATAACTGCTGCATTTCTTGAAAAGCTTATATAAAATGGATTATTATACCCTTTCTGTTAAATGCTTATTATCTTATAAATCATGTCACTAATAGCATGTTCTTTCCTACGTATTAGTACAAATCAAATACAAATATTTACGCAAACAATGCATATACGGCCTTGTCCTTGTGTCTAGATTTTCAAAATTGACATGTCCAACACCACGTCCGTTAGATATAGTTTATGAGTTTCCATCAGGAAATAGAATCTGTTAACTTTTCTATAGTTTTTATCGTTCCAAGTAGCTCCCCAGCATGAATTTCTTTTCCAGAGAAAGTGTACGATGACCCGCCGCCCCCCCCCGCCTCTCCTATCGACTGTTTTTTTCTGCAATGCACGAATAACAAATAAGTTTTATTCTTTTTCCAATGGGAGAGGTCTTGAGAAGTTTGTTTTTGCGCAATTTAGTTGCATATTTTCTTTGGGATCCTAAAATTATGAGTAATGCGTGTTTACACACACGCACGCACGCGCGCACGCACGCACGCACGCACGCACACACACACACACACACACGTTGATTAAGAGGAAAACCAATTATCTTTGATAATTCTGCTGCTACCAAAACATGTGTTCCTATTTCATACACACACACACACACACACACACACGTTGATTAAGAGGAAAACCAATTATCTTTGATAATTCTGCTGCTACCAAAACATGTGTTCCTATTTCTGATGAATTTGGATAATATTTTCCTGAAGTATGGAGTTTTATTGGCACTTGTGAAATATTTTATTTTATGCAGGACCAGTATGTGTCTCCTCCAGATTTCAAGAGACTGTTGTCTGCAAAATTGAAAAAGATGGTTGAAGCAAGGAAATTGGTTAAGGTATTATTTGAAACTTTGTAATTTTCAACGGTATAATCACGGCAATCAGCTCTAGGAACATAAAATGTTGAAAGGTTTTCAGCTGGTTTGATTTTGGCATAAAAAGTTGCAAATCTATTGATTTTATCTACATCTGATCTGGATGTATTAGCTGGTAATTAAATAAGGCATTTGATATGAAATTCACTTCAGATGGTTTAGCTCTGACAGTAAGTGTTAACATATTAGATATTTATGAGAGCTTTTTATCAACATAGTATTTGTGGAACTTTTAGTCTTTGTTTCTCTTTCGGGATTCCAATACCTTCTTACGTTATAATTATATGAGAGCTTTTTGTCATAAACTAGGTGGAATGCACGTGCAATGCACGTGATCAAATATTATAATTGTTGATTTTTAATTTATGTATTTACTATAATATAGTTGCAAAAATGTTAATGATTATTGTAATATATTAAAAAATTTCAGATATAAAATCTTGTTGGTTTTAACATTTTACCTTCAACATAATTAGTGAGGTTTAAAGTCTTAAAATATTAATGACCAGAGAGCAATTTAATGATTTGAAATTCTAATTTTAAAATATTAATGATGTAAGCACCAATATCTTAAAAACTATTATTATTAATGAAAAATAAATCTTGAATTCATCAACGTAAAATGGTAGGTATTATATATCTTGTCATAGAAGATTTTGTTTTATTATAAAGAAACCACTTGCACCTATTGTCTACTTCCACTTTTTATTATCTAGCGACCGAGTATTATAGATATTCAAAAACTTATTTCTAGAAATTTCAAAGTTAGAATGTGCAAATTCAATCAAGAAAGAAAATATAATTATGTAATCAATTCCAAAATCTGATATTGTAATCTTTCTATATCTTCTCAACTAATTAATTAATTTGTCAAAACGATTATTGCCTAATTTCATAAAACTATAAAATATAATCTGAGAATGATTTAAACATATTTTGTACACAAATGGATTGTATTTTAACAGAATAATTTAGATCTATCCAATATTGAATAATATCCAAAATTTTAGGCTAACGAGTTAAAAGAATCTAATAACACTCATATCCAAACTATATGTTTCATAAATGTGAGATATATAAAATGAACAACTTAATTTTATTTTGTTAAATAATTTATTACTAACCATAAAAGATAAGGAGAATCATAAGGATCACATAGCCATCTTAAATAAAGATTAAATTTCTCTCTACGAATTCTGTTGCAAAAGAATTTTAGAGATACTGATAGACTTGCTATAAAACCCACTCTTATAAGATTGATGTCACATGTGTCTTAAGTTGTGCTTTGTTTAAGGGTTAATTTTAGAAAACTTTTGCTCAACTATCGGGAAAATGTTAACCCCACCCCCACCCCTCAACTACTTGAAATGAGTAAATCTTTATTCGTCAAATTTGTGGTTTTATAGTTAATTTATCTCAACTTTATATTTTTGATTTACCCTATGAACTTTTCTCAATTAACATCTCAAAACTAATATCGTTGAGTCGAATTTATTATGTGATAAGTACTTGACTTGGAAATACCAAAATATCTCAATCATAAAAGAATTTGCTTGGTCTTTACTAGATGAAAGAAAAATTAAAGATTTAGAAAAAAGAACTATAAATTGGTCGTAAATTTTTTATTATCGATTGAGAGTTTCTTTTTAACTAAAATGACTTTCTTCAACAGGGAATTTTTACAAAATCATATATTAAAGTCTTTTACATTAACGAGGTTTGTAAAGAGATGTGTAAAAGACCAGGAGAGTTTTCATAAGACACGCTAAGTCGAAGGGTGTTTTCTAAAATAGCACCAAAGTTAAGAGGGGTTATCTACAACACCTCTATAGTTAGGGGGCTCTGTCAAATTAAATTAGTTGGGTGATTTTTTTGAGACATTCCCCATAGTTAAGAGAGTTTTCAAAAATTTAATTATTCTTTTAAATTTAGCTTATTTACATATTCATCCCTCAAATGTTTTATAATTTAATATTAGTCCCTAAATTATAAGCAGTTTTAAAAATTTAAGGGAATAATGTAGAATTATTAGAGATTTAAAATTAAGGAAATGATACCTAAATTACCTTTAAATATTGCTCTTATACGCAATATATATTAGAGATTTAAAATTAAGGAAATGATACCTAAATTACCTTTAAATATTGCTCTTATACGCAATATACGAAATATTGGCTGATATATCACTATATCGACTGATATAAAAGGTTAAATACTTTATCTTAATAATATTTATGGTTTTATATTGTTTTCTTTTATTTGGAGAATTTTTTCTATATATTGATCACTATCGAAAATATTGGCTGATATAACAAAATCGAGTCATTTTTAATTTGATTGTGGGCTTCGTATTAAGTCGTGTTTGGAAACCAAAACTAAAGCACAAGTCACACAAGCTACAATTCATATTCCAAATCTCTTCACTCTCAGCTCTCCCAAATCTTAAGCATATATATTGACGTAAATTCTTACGTTAAAAATTCATTAATATTTGAGATTATAGATTAAAATGTTATATTATATATGAGCATTATTATCTCACATGAGGCCCAGATATTTTTTACATAACCACAATTATTATAATCCAATATCATGGATTTTATTTGTCCAGCATTTATATGATGTCCAACACTTTGTAGTAGTAATTTGAAAGCCTCTTCTAAAGTTTTCTAAGTAAAGTATATAAATTCAGAAATAATTTAAAATCTTGAGATTATTCAAAATATGATGCTTTAATTGTTTTTTAAATTTGCATGTCTGTACCTTCTATATGCAAGAATACTATTTGTAATTTTCCTATATGAATATAATGGTATAATTTTAGGATAATTCTATATTTTTTACTCTTTCTATTAATAATTTATTAACATGTAATTGTCTATAAATATATTATTAGACATTACTAATAATTAATATGAGAGTTTTACAATAACATTAGAAGTTTTAAGGACCAAGTTAGACAAACTTGAAGTGTCATATAATATAATTAATTAATAATAATAATTAATTTAGTTTAGTTATGATTAAAATATAATATTTTTAAAAAAAATAAGGGTAACATAGTCCATAGAAAATTTTTCTACAACTTCATCTTTTAAAGGGAGTATAATTCTAAGCGAAGTATATAATTTTATTTATAATTCAAAATATTGAGACTTATCCAAAATATGATGCTTAAATTTTTTCACATATTCTGTGCTATATAAATATAAGTTAAGCCTCTGACCTTATATTATATGATGAATATTATTTATCAAAGGAATCACATACTATTGCTTCTGGTTAACAAAGGCTTCAAATCTTTATAGGCTTAATTAAACTTAAATACCTTACAACTTACGAAAGTTACACGCATATACCTCCACTTATATCTTAATGCACTTAATTATCCTAATGTTTTCTAAAATTACATGTTTGTACTTATATACACAAGAATACTCTTTATAATTTTCTTGTGTGAGTGCCATGGTATAATTTTAGGACAATTCTATATTTTTTACTCATTCTAAAATAATTTATTAACGTGCAGTTGTCTATTAATAAAGTATTATGCATTATTAATAATTAATATAAGAATTTTACAATAACATTAGAATTTTTAAAGTCAAGTTAGACAAATTGAAGTGGCGTGTAATATGATTAATTAATAATGATAATTAATTTAGTTAATTTATGATTAGAATATAATATCAAAAAAGAATAGGAATCTTGAGATTATTCAAAATATGATGGTTAAAATTTTCCACATCTTTTGTATTATATAAATATAAGCTAAGCCCATGTCCTCATATTATGCAATGAATATTGTTTATCAAGGGGATCACATACTATTGCTTATGGTTAACAAAGGCTGCAAATCTTTATCGGCTTAATTAAACTTAAATACCTTGCAGCTTACGAAAGTTACACTCATATACCTCCATTTATATCTTAATGCACTTAAATATCCTAATGTTTTCTAAAATTACATGTTTGTACTTATATACGCAAGAATACTCTTTATAATTTTCTTGTGTGAGTGACATGGTATAATTTTAGGACAATTCTATATTTTCTACTCCTTCCAAAATAATTTATTAACTTGCAGTTGTCTATTAATGCATTATTAATAATTAATATGAGAGTTTTACAATAACATTGGAAGTTTTAGGGCTAATTAGACAAAACTAAAGTGGTATGTAATATGATTAATTAATAATAATAATTAATTTAGTTAATTTATGATTAGAATATAATATCAAAAAAGAATAAGGGCAATATAGTCTATAAAAAGTTTTTCTATAACTCCCTCTTTTAAAGGGAGTATGATTCTTAGCTGACGCTTTAAATATTTACCTTAGTTTTGACTTTTGAGACTTTACGTCACTTTATTTTTTTCCTTATGATAACTAGGATCCCTTTTCTTTTGATAAATTAAAATTACAACCACTGTTCAGATCTTCAACCTCCATTCTGGACAGCAAAACATGTGAGAATTAAAATATATAAGAACATTATACAATTTTAAACATGGATAGCAAAAATTCTCTTTAATAATCCAATAAGTTCTTGAAAAAAGAGTAAACACCCAACTTATGTTGTCTTCGCCGACTGTGCTGATAATCTCAAATGCCAAGCACTTCGGGGTGCACATGTTGGGCATATTCTGTAACATAAACAACTCGCTACTCTTCGGTGTGCCTCATGTTCTGCTACTGTTGCCACCACATCCTCTTTGTTTTCTTTTGCATGCTCTTCTGCCACTAATTTCTTGTTCGCTTTCTCCTCTTTCCCCACCTTTCTTGTCTACTCCCTTCTCTTCTTTATTTTCACCCCCTTTTCTGTTATTGTTTTTACTACTACTATATCTGGAATATTGATTATCAAGTCTTAAGTTAGTGTTCTAGACACAGCAATAGCAATTATAATAGTATGGAGGTTGTAGTTTTATTTGTGTTCCTTCAATTTTGGCTTACTCGTCAACTTTTCTAATTTTCTTCCTCTTTTTCACTGTGATTCTTTGTTCTTTTTTTGTTTCTTTGTTTTGTGGTTGTTTTATCTTTCTTCCCTGTTCATGCGTGCTCTCGTTCACTTCTCAACTTCCTTTCTTTAATTTGACCTTATCAGTCCCCCCCCCCCCCCACCCTCTTCGTTTTCTGCGTTTTTACAATGGCCACTTTTTTAGATAATCATAACCTTTAGCCATACTTCAAAATGAAAATTCTCGATATAAAAAACATCTTGAATTCAACATTAATAGTTATTAGTTATCATATGTTGCAATTAATTTGACTCATCTTAGCTTTAAATTTTCATTATGTTTAGAATCTTGCCAAAAAATGTGTAGTTGTGTGTCGTGCGTTGTTTTGTGCCTTTTGCCTTGACGGCGATGAGATCTATGCAAATTGTCGTTCACATTGCACCTTTGGACTGGACAACACTACACCCAGCAATTGATTTGGCTTGATTATTGAACATGTCTACATCCATGGAAGCATGGAGAAGGGATGAAAACATGATGTTATTCTGCAGCACTACTAAGGATAGGGGTGCTAAACCATATCCGTATCCCAGGAAATATCCGTAACCGTATTCGTTAGGATACATATATGTTTACTCAAATCTATAACCAATAGGATATGGTTACGGATATGGTTTTCTAGTGAAATATCCGTATCCGTATCCAAAATATCGGAATAAGTATTAGTTATACTCTTACGATAGTTTCGATTCTTAGATTATGGATTTGTGGTTAATTTTGATGATCAAGATATTTTATCTTAACATTTTAGTTATAATGAACATATTAACGAACTCTTTTGTATCACATGAACTATATTTTTCTCAATATTATCTAGTTTTCTCATATCCGTTTTATATCCGCATGTATATCCGTAACCATATCCAATTTTAACGGATATGGATATGAATTTTTCTTACCGTGGTATATCCTTGTCTGAGATGGGTAAGCGGATATGGATATGGTAAGCATCACATCCGAGCCGTATCCGGACCGGATGCACCCCTAACTAAGGACCTCCCTGATGGCTTCATCTCATCTTTAGAGATGAAACCATTTGGCATGTGTCCATTCTCCGTGTCCTGCATTTGCCACCAAGGCCTTTTTTCAATGCACTCCAGTAATTAGCTCGAAACTGAATTGCGATCTGGATACTTTTTCAGTCTTGTCTTAGAATTTTCTTCATTTTGTCATCCCATTATTTTTGGATCCTAAATGGTATTTATATTTTCCCTTTTTTTTAAGGTAAAGCGTAAATATAGGATAGCACCAAGTTCAGCCTTCACAGAAGGAAGAAGCTCCAAACTTATGCTCATTGAGGGGAGGCCAAGGGAAGCTTCTAGAGTGGATAGAGATATCAAACAGATTAGCAAATCCCAAGTTGATGCTTACTTAGCACGGATGAGAAGTATGACTACGGAGGAGGCTGAACTTGCTGCTGCTGAGGCTGTTGCAGAGGCAGAAGCTTTAATGACTGAAGCTGAAGAAGCAGCAAGAGAAGCAGAGGCTGCTGAAGCTGATTTTGAAGCAAGAAAGGCCTTTGCTGATGCAGCAACTTTGACGCTCAAAAAAGGAAATGCTGCTATCATGGTAGTCCTCTAGTTTAGTACTTTTTCTTTTCTGCATCTGTTCTATATTTTAACACCCTCATTCTTTAGGTAATTCTCGTCATTCTATTGACTATTTCATGTATTTTCTGTGGGTTCAATTATATGTTTGACTCTGGACGTCTCTGAAGTTCCTCTTGGTTGTTTGACTACATAGCAGCATTATTCTTCTTATGTTGTATGTTTTGTCTTCCTTCCTATTTCATTTTTTCTTCATTTTGTTACAATAAAATGTAGAATTTGGCTTGGGTGCTACCCATAGGATCCTTTTACTGTTTAAGCAAACATGGTGAAATGATAGCTACTAGCTAGGCATTTAATAAATCCTCACTTCTGTAACATCCGCGTGAAATAAGTTATCATGTTGATTATGATTACATTTCATTCTTTCTTCTGATGGTTAGGTCTTGTAAGTCTATTATTTAGCACTAGACGTCTTTCTCTATCTAATTAAAAGTGATAACTCTCTCGTTGGGAAGACTATTTTTTCTAGTCTTATATTCAATTTAGAACTCGCTCCCTCCTCTCCCATGAAATTGTACATTTCCAAAGGACTGGATGGAAAGTCCAGGTATCAAACATTTTTTTTGTCATTCTAAATTGTTGTGTCTGGATTTATTTCAAAGGCATTGGAAATTGAGACATGTTGTAGTCAGAAATACATACGCATGATATACCTATAAAAGAGAGTCTGAGTTCTGCATGTCATGCTGATATATTCATGTTCTTGAACAAATGCAGTGGGCAGGAAGTGGCACTTGAGAGTTACAATCACATACTATTTGGTGGGGAATTTAAAGCAGGTACCATTTTTAGTTTCCTCAGAAAGTAACATCATTCTTAGTTTTCTCATCATACTTTATGGATAAAATACCTAAAATGTTAACTTGAATAGAGATATATTAACGGCCTATGCTGTTTTTGTATTCTCGTATGTATCGTAGCTTCCTAACAGTTGATCGATATCTCTACTAGTACATGGCAAAATGCTGCATTTGCCTGTCTATGTAATTAACACGAAAAATAAATAGAAATATTAGCCCCGGAATATAACTGTATCTATGCATATATTTAAACTGATACGAGTATGCTGTTCAAAATGGCCTAGCTTGCTGCTTGCAGCGCAGTACTTATCTTAGGGTGCAATGAAGAGTTTGCATGGAGAAAATCTTTGACAAATAGAACATGTGATACTTCAGATAAAATACTTGTTCGTGTTTGTGAAAGTGCATGTTTGATGACCTTATTTTTTATTAAGAACTATTGCTCAAAATTCAAATAGCTTCCTCGTACTTTGTTGCACTTTATAAATGCAGTATGTACAGTTTTGATGCAAGATAAACCATTACAATACTAGTTTGAAGTCAGCTGGTTCTAAGAGGCCTCATACTGGATTGAACGCGATCCCAAGTTGTTACCATTTTTGTGCTTTCTATACCATATATTTTAGCATGTCATTCATGTATCATAAGATAGTTCTCCCATGCTTTGCAAGTAAGTATACAAGCGATATGATTATAGATCATAGGAATACTTTGGAAACAATGAATGCTGATAATAATATATTAAATAAATAAACAAAAACAAAATAAAAAATGGAAATCATAGACACAAGTGGGTAGCGTAAAATGTATACAAACCAATAGAAACATAAAAAGGGACGGTCATATTATCCAACAGTGTGTACTGATAAGAGTTTATTCAGGTGCGTGGGGTCAAAATTGCAACCCCCTTACCGTATGTTTTTAGCAAATCAATTGTTTCAAACGTGAACATGTATTTGAAAGAAATTTATTTGGAGGTCATTTCTGCATAGAGCTTATTAAACTAAGTAGTAAATGAAAAATTAAAAAGCGTTGGTGAGATAAAATGAAAGGTGGAAGAAAAGATCTAATTGAGAAGGAGAATGCGAGGGACTTACCATTTATACATATCTACTCAAACTTTTGGTAAGATATCAATCCAAACAGCGAGAGATAAGTTACTCAGAATAAATTAACAGGAGTCAGGACACATAAGATTATGTATTATAGGATACAAACTGGTATCAATAAAATGCATGTCAATTCCTTGTATATTATAATTTGGGCTAACTTACCATATCCCACAAACTATGTATCTCCTATGCTATAGCCTAATTGTGGATAGACCCCCTGTAGTTCTATCAGGGCGATCTTCACCATTAGAACTCAATGGTCTATCCTCAGTTGGGCAATAGCATAGGGGTCTATCTGCAATTAACCCGGTAATATACTTATCAGTTTTCCTGTATATTGTAATGAATCAGAAAGTGTATACATCATAAGGTGTTGACATTGGACTTCACTGACTGGGTACCTAGAGTCCATCATTAAAAGTCCAAAGCATTGTTGAATATTGAAAATTCTTGGATGTGAATGATGGCGCCCCTACCAAGTTAATGTCATTTTCTATAGATAGTCTCGATTACAATTACTTTCATGGTTACTGATTTATTTTTATTTTTATTGTTTTTATATATGCAGATGGTTCGAGGATTGAATTCATCTTTGGACTTCTTCGGACCTTTTTGTACGTAGCGTTTTCTTTAGCGATTCATGCCTTTGATGGCCTGTTTTCTGTTCAAATCTGTAGATATTGTTTAGCTGTGTGTAGTGACTATGCTATTAGTCCTATGTAAAAATGCAAGATTCTTTAATAAGCACGATGGAAGGATGCTGTTCAAATACTTTCGGCGCCTTGAAGTTGTTGTTTCTTTCTTCTACAATGCAAAGTTCTTGCAGGCTCTTAGGTATATAATGTCTGGTCATTTTTAACCCTATTAAACAGAACTTTTAACCTGGAGGCCTTTAGAAGGTGCTTGTTTTTGAGTTTTCTTCCAGTAACTACGTGAGGACTGCTGGGTTCTAATTAGTGAAAATAGTTACGTCTGCAACAGAGAACTCCTCCTT